GTACCTAAATAGGTGGCCACCGTTGCCTCATATTAAAGGGACGGGCAGTTACAACTATGCCTTCTCCGAAACCCGAACCCGAGCCCATGGTTACGGGAGTCAGTGTCACTCACCACTACGTAGCGTCTAGCCCTAGCATGATTTATGCTTCACTCATGCACAATAGTCATATTTTCAGCATGGTAACATTCGTCCCTTAGCCGAAGAACATCTATGTATGTCTGGCTTGGCGATAAGTTCACAATTCAGTCTTCAGCGATGCGTAAGTGAAATGCTGCGGAATGTGTGAAATTTGTTTACTTTGTGACCAATTATGCCAGCAATTATTTACGGGGACTTAAAAAAGCGTATGAGGTGAGCTTTGTGCCCAAATATGCGAGAATATACTTACTAGGGACTTGAAAAAGCGTGTGGAGAAATAGATGTTATTCGTTTTTTACTCGTGTTTGATGTTTACGAACTATTTAAATTAATGCTGTATGTTTTTGTAGCATGCAATAATTACTAATTCAGAAGTCAAACAACAAAAATCAGCGTTATATTTACAAAATTTTCACAGGACTAGTTTCGATGGTTTTACCGAACCACCATCTTCAGCTGCAAAACCGCAAATGCGGTATAATTAATTAACTTAACCGTATTTTACATTTATTTCCAAATGTATTTTTGTTTGATATTTCATCTTATATTTACTGCAATCATAATTGTTTTTTAAATTCATGCTTTCCACGAAGGCATGTCTCATCTTAGGCAAATAATTCTCGAGAGCTTAATTAATTACTTTAACTTCATTTAACAATTGTTTTTTAATTTCATATTTACAATTATGATAAGCTTCTTATTCAGACTTATCTGCAACGTGACAAAATTTAGTGCAATAACAACATGTCTTTAGTTGACAATCTCATGATACATCGCTAATTCTGTATAACGAACGCCAGCGAATATCGCCAACGAAGCTTGTCATTGCGCATGCTTGAAGCATAAATAATGCTACGACTAGACGCTGCTCTGACCATACAATTTTTTCTACTTGTGTTGAATGGTCGTAATTTTGATACGTCCCTGAAAATAACAGTACTCTAGGAATTCTTTTCTTTATTAACAACGCTTTTGCAAAATTCAATACCTTTTCCTATTTCGCTCCATAATCCGTGTTTTTTACCCCCCATTTGTCCACCCACCATTTATATTAATTATTTCAGAGTTTTTGACGTACTTTGCAGTAGTTAAATTCTTAGCAGAAAATGCAGTAATTTTAGAAAACATTTCACTGGCTGTTTCCGAAGGACTTTCTTTGGTACATGTAGTAACTTGCCTCTCTTCTATTGCTTTATCACCATTTTAAATCTCAAATTAAGCACTTTTCAAAACTTGAAATTCTTTTAAATTAATAACTTAGTAGACAATTACGAAACATTGAGCTTGCGTGTGACTAAGACTATAGCGTGTGACTATGAAATGACTAAATGTGTATCTTGTTTCGTGGAATTTTTCTTGGCGAGTTAGGTTCCCCTTAATGTTTATAGATATTTTTTTCTTCAAATTTTGAATTAATGTATTTTTAGTTTTCTATAACATATTTTTTCAATTAAAAACTGTAAATTCCGTGTGCACCATATTTTATTACACAAGGCTTACATAGGTAAGTGAAAAAAACAAACAAATACAACATAAAATAAAATAAACTTACAAATTCACAGACGACACGTAAGAGATAAATTTACAGAAGAAAGAGAAAGCCCTTTTACCTTGGACAAATACGTGAAGAGAGGAAGGAAATGTAATATTCACAGAGTTTTTTGACCTATAAATGAGTTTTCGTCCTTCCGTGAGCTTTGAGCAATAGAACAACAAATGTTCGACATTTTGCACGCCCCCAAAACTGCATGAACCCGAAACTGCATGAACATTAATACTACATAATCTAAATCTCTTCAGATATGACTTGGAATTACCATGTCCAATCAGAAATTTTGCAATTTCGAAAATGCAGAAAAATTGTTTATTATACACTCTGTGAGAAATGGAAGGAAAATATAATTTGGTCAAGGAGGCAGTATTTGAATACCTGTATAACTTATTCCACTTGAGTATTGTATCACACCTACCTTTTTTATTGAAAAATGACTTAGGCAGTATCATTGAAGTATTTACTTGAAGATTTGTAGCTTGTTTTGCCAACCAATCAGCCTTTTCATTTCCTAGATAGCCAATGTGGCCACGTACACTGGCAATGTAGGAAATGAAAGGGCTGATTGGTATAACATAGTCTATAGCATAATGAAATAAAAATAAACACGAAAATAACACATAACATATTGAAATAAAAAATGTTGGTAATATGTTTACTTTCCATTTTTACTATATTTGGTGTTTTAAATCATTTAAAATCCAAAATTTTGTGTCATAGCTGAATACTTTTTTGACTCAGGTTATATTTGTAACTTGAATGATACCTTTTCGACTTACTAGACAAATATTTCTGCATCTGGTATCTAATGTACGCTTTAATGTCGTTTGGTCTAATGTATGCTTGTTTTAAACATAATATTTTGGTCATTCGGGATTAAAGTATGTCCAATCTTCTATGATGAAATAAATTTGGATTGTAGGACTGAAGTCCGCTTTGTATTTTAGAGCTGGGATCGGTAACTTTATTTACTTGGAAGGCATATTTCAGAAATGCGGGATTCCGGCCGGCATAACGGCAGGAGAAATACTTACTATTATAAGGTATTTCTCCCGCCTTCTTAGCATGCCTTCGTAGTGTAGCACGCTAGGCCCGTATTCGGTCAGCACGCTAGGCCCGTATTCGGTCAGCACGCTAGGCCCGTATTCGAGAGGCCCGTGGTTCGAGTCCCGGTGAAGGCGTTGCTCCTTTTCCATCTTTCCTGCTTCGAAATGACCTAACGTCTCTAACTCAAACTAGATGATAAACTAGAAACTAGATGATAAAAGTTTATTTTGCAGTATTCTGACCCGATATTTATACTATGCGCATTACTCCTTGCACCACCTCCTTAGGGAGGATATAAGCAGTGCTAGTACTCTCCCTTTGTCCCGCTAGGTATACCCCTAATAGTTGAAATTAATTTTTTTAGGACAGGCAGCTATGTCTATGGCGGAGTGCTTCAGCATTTGCATTCCTCTAGCCATAGTTTAGCGCAAAGTGTTACGACACACATTACACAAATTAATGTTTTCATACATTGCTCATTTTTCAATATCTCCTGCCTCTACCGTGCCGCCCGAACTAAAAGGTGGTGAATGATGATACTTTACCACGAGGATTTGGCGATTGGGTTCCCTAATCCCTAGTCGCCCTTTAAATGGGGGGAGTATAAGGTGTTTCTCCTGCCTTCTTGGCATGCCTTCATGGTGTAGTGGTCAGAACGGTCGATGCGTATTCGAAAGGTCCGTGGTTCGCGTCCCGGCGAGGGCATTGCACATTTTCACTTTTCCAGTATCGAAATAATCTAATGTCTCTATACAGTAACAAAAAATAAATATACAGGGTGTTTCACTGAGGCCAGGAGAAAAGTGTGATATAAATAACGCAATATAAAAATCTTATAATAGAAGGAAGTGAAACCAAATTTTTAAATGACATACCTTTATGTTTGAAAAATGAAAGTTCATTAGAAGAGATGGTGGAAGTGATTTTCCACAGGTAAAACATTTCACGACGGATGTTTTGACGCAAATCATCGATGTGCGTGATTTGTGCTTTTACTCATTACCTTTAAGACGACTCTATAGGAAAAACTCAAGGAAAATCAAGTCTGGGAAAGTGAGAAAATCAAGTCGTTCATATTCGTTACAGATGTGTGACATGCTGTCCCGTTTTGCTGGTAAGCTAAGTGTCAGCTCCTCATCATCCAACTGGTTCTCAAATTCACGAAACAGTGCCTGGTGCACTTCACTGATGACAATATATAAAAAAAATTATCCCAATGATGTACCGGTGTAGTAATGCACAAAACATACCCAAGCTTATGTGAATGAAAGGGTTCCTCTACGGCTTCATGCTGGTTGCAATACAACACCGTGTTGAGATCACCTCCAGCATATCTTTTAATGCACTTATAATTCTAAAACATAAAGGCATGTTATGTGAACATTTGGTTTCCTTTCCTTATATTATAAGATTTTTATCACGCTTTTCTTGGGACCTCTTTCGAACGGAACAAACACCCCGTATAAAAATAATTTAAAAAATAATCTGACAGATTTCACTTTTTAACGGTCGCCCAAAAGGGTTTATCAAAGTATTTTACGCCCTCCTTGTGTGTGTGGTCCTCCTTTACCTTTCATTTTGTTATCTTTATTATTAAACATCGCTTTCCTCACACTTAACGTTACATACAACTCCGCAACACAATCATGAAGGTTTTAAAAGCTGTTATAGAAGCAGAACTTGGAATGTATAGAATTCTTGATGCAGTATTAAGAGTTGGAATACATTTTTTTATTTTTTAAAGCTTTTCTTTATTCATTAAGTCAGTCTTCCGTTATAGAGGCCTTATCACCCTGCATTAAACTTAAAAGCTTCTTCCGAGTTTTGATAGAGAACAACCCTGGCGGTTAGCTCCTAGGTTCTCCCACCAGTCTTTTTCAACCACTAAACCATTCGAGAGGACATTCGGTTCAACATAATTTTAAATGCTGCCAGGAAATACCGACACGACAGAGTTACAAACCTGCCTACCTTTCCGGGCTTCAAACCCAGACCGAACCATAATACAGCCAGCATCGCTAACCGCTGTTCCGATCAGGGCATGGGACGAGGCAAACATATTTTGAAAATATTTTATGGTACAGAGGTATAAAAATAATTCGAAATTCAAAATTTTAAGGTAGCAATAATATATACTGAGCTTACGCTTTTTAACACTGTTATGTTGTACGCAATATAAAAATTCCTCTTTATTTTTCTCCAGTATCCTGCTTTAATGACATAATTAATTGTAAGTTTTGCTGCAAAAATGATACTTTACCCGTATTATCGAATCCATGTGTAATTTCATGGCCAACAAAATGTCCAATACCTCCAAAATTAAGGTAGCTGAAATAAACATATAAAATTAAATCCAAGCATTATTATCTTTTAAGATTAAAATTAAGGAAATCATAGCAGTGTAGATAAATGTCTTTGAGCTTCATTATAGTTTAAATAAATGCATTATGTGTTTCTCTAACTTACTATGGTCGATTCTTGCTAAAATTTGGAAGTTGTATAGCCCCTGCCGGGAATGCTGAAGAAAGAGAGTTAAATTTCTTAATATCCAATATAATTAAGTCCTTAAAAATGATAAGATGAGAGAAATTGAATTGGTAATTCTGAAATCGTCGTTTTAGAGAGGTAAATTCATATATTATAACGAAATTAAGACATTATATTACGTTTTATAGGCGAAATTCAAATAGATGTGTGTTTCTAGACATATATCAGATAATCTTCGGTTCTATAAATCGTTTCTTAAAGATGAACATTCGAACATAAAATATATTTATCAAGGATTCCAGTGCTCTATAATAAAATGCTACAGATATTAAAAAATCAGCATCAGGAACAAGTAGTAAGGATAATTAAGAACAAGTAGAACTGTATCGGCATAGAAGGGTAGTTTTTGGTATTACGTGTAGTCCGTATTTATTGGCCGCTACAATACAATATCATTTGAGTGTAGTTCCCGAAAGCTTAAGTCATACAGCGGATATATTGAAAACATCCTTTTACGTAGATAACTGTGTGGCGAGTATGAATTCAGAAATAGAAATGAGAAAGTTTGTAAATGAATCACAAATAATTAATGGCTTCGGGTCATTTTAATTTAAGATTCTGGAAATCCAATATAAGAAGTGTTGGTGCCAGAGGAAGATTCCTCCACGGAAGGAGATGTGTCTGTTTTGGGCCTTGTATGGCAATACAGTTACAGATACCTTATCTTGCAAAATAAGTCAAGATATAAAATTGGATGAGTAGCTCATCAGGTGTTTGACGTTATAGGGCATACGGCTCCTGTAATGTTGATTCCAAAACTAATTTTACAGGAAACTTGGAATTTAAGGCTTAAATGGGACGATGTTCTTCCCGATGAATTAACCAAAAAGTTTAGGTTTTGGCGTAAAAAGGTATACTTGCTATCCAGTATTCAAATGCCTAGATGGATAGGTTTCAGATCTATTAATGAAGCTGTGAGTATACATCTCTTTTGTGACAGTAGTAAAAGTGCGTATGGTGCATGCGTCTTTTTAAGAATAAAGAGTGGCAAAAAGGTGCAGGTTTGGTACACGCAAGATCTAGAGTAGCGCCTTTAAAACCTATTACGATTCCTCGATTAGAACTTCTTGCTTGTAATATTGGTTCTAGGTTATTGTCTTCAGTTATTAATGATATTGGCCTACATGAAGTTCGTATTCATTGTTGGACTGACTCCTCGACGGCTTTAAAATGGATACGGCGAAATCAACGTTGGGGAGCATTTGTTTTTAATCGTGTACAGGAAATCAGGTCTTTGACCTCCCCCACTGCATGGCGACATGTCCCTAGTAGTCTCAGTCCTGCTGACCTACTTTCTAGAGGTTGTCATGCAGAGCAATTAATAGAAAGAAAATGGTGGGAGGAACCTGATTGGTTACGGAAAAATGAGGCAAATTGGCCTAAATCTAACGAGGAACCAGATGAGGATTTAGTTAATTCAGAAATACGTAAGACAGTTATTGTTACGTTGGCAAAGAGTGATAATTGTATTGGATGGTACTATAAGAGTTTCTCATCATTTAAGAAAATTGTAAGAATGTTATCATGGATATTCAGATTTTATAATAATGTACGCAAGAATAATAATAACAACCATTCTAAGGATTTGACTGTATCTGAAATAGAAAGGGGAGAAATAGCTTTAATGTTATTAATACAAAAAGAGTCGTTTAATGGTGAAACAGATGATAAGCTAAGACGACTCAGACCATTTGTCGATAGTCAGGGTCTAATAAGAGCTAAGTCTAATGTTGCTTATTGTGACGACTCTAGCAGCTTTAAGTTCCCCATCATATTACCTTCTGAACATCCAGTAGTCAAATTATTGATATTAAGTGCACACAAAGATTTGTTGCATGCAGGTACTACATTATTGATGTCGCATTTAAGAGAAAGATACTGGATCTTAAAATCACGTAAAACTATAAGGAACTGTATAAGAAAATGTGTAACATGTCAGAGATTTAAGGCTAAAAAAGAGGTGAGACAGTCCCAGGCGTTTTACCAAATGATAGGGTTCGTGATTCAGCCATTTTTGAAATCGTAGGGATGTGATCTTGCAGGACCCTTGCATTTAAAGGATGGACGAAAATCATATATTGTGCTCTTCACCTGTGCGGTTTATCGTGCTATCCATATGGAACTGGTTACCTCATTAACAACTGAATCATTTTTTCAAGCTTTAAGGCGTTTTATCGCACGTCGTGGACGCCCTACCACCATATATTCCGATAATGGGACAAATTTTGTGGGTGCAGAGAGAGTTCTGCAAACCATTGACTGGGACTGCCTCTGCTCTAAGGCTGCTGAAAAGAGAATACAATGGAAATTTAATCCTCCATCCGCCGCTTGGTGGGGTGGATGGTGGAAGCGTTTAATACAAATTGTAAAACAAATATTAAGAAAAATTTTAGGTCGTGCTTCTCTTGGTTATGAAGAGTTACTCACCGTCTTGTGTGATTGTGAAAGAATTGTCAACTCAAGACCACTTACGTACGTGTCTGACGATATTGAAGATCCCTTGCCTTTAACTCCAGAAAAATTTCTGCATGAAACTCCACAGTCGGGTGTACCTGATATTGACAATGTGGACAAAGAAAAATTGAGTAGAAGAGCGAAGTATCTCCAGAGAATGAGAGAATTGTTAAGAGTGAGATTTCGCTCTGAGTATCTAGGGCAGTTAAGACAGCAGTCTACCAGAAATTACAAAAATAAACCTCTCTCTGTAGGAGAAATTGTCTTGCTGGAGGATCAAAATAAAAACCGTGCATATTGGAATTTAGCACGCGTTATTCGGGTGATCCCTGGTCGAGATGGCAACATAAGAGTTGCTCTTGTAAAAAGTAATAATTCAGAGTTCTTGAGACCAATACAGAGATTGTTTAGATTGGAACTGGATAATATAATAGATAATACTCAAAATGAGCAAGTTCCTTTCACCACCAGTAGTGGTAGAGTTGTAAAATCACGAATAATGTAATTCATGTCTTTGAGTTATTATGATTTATTTTGTTGTGCTATTATTGTTGTATTATTCCTCAGTATTAATTTTGTTTTCAAGTAATATGATTTAAGTATTAAGTAATTTTCTTTGTTATATAACCCTCATTTATTGATGTAAGTTTTATGTTTTGAGTGTGTAGCCATCCACTCAAAAGGTGGGAGAATTGTGGCGACACACTGCCTTTCTGTGGCAACCCTAAAGAATTCGTCTGTCACGAGGATCACGTGCCCAGATGCATCATATCGTAAAAAAGTGGCAAGAGAGGAATAGTGCGAAAGGAGAAGGAGTATAATTCTACCAAATTAACCGAACGATTATAACAATGCCCCATGACACAATATAGGGTCATGGCATCCACATTTATGCATGGCATCAGATCTGACAATTGTGTCTGTGGCAGCTAGGTCTCCCGAGCACTACCTATTTGACTGCGGTCTAACAACAAACCACACTTACCACATCCAACGAATGATAGAACACTTTACTATCGTTTCATAATCAAACACCTGCCAGTTATAAGGATTGCGCAGTTGTACAGCAAATCAACGCCCTAGGGCAAGACATTTGCGAGCCACAATAGTATGGTACTGCAGACAATGTACTCAACGATTAGATATTCGCAGTATATACTCCACATTGAATTTCGAGCCTCATGTTAACATCTGCTTTCAATAGCCAGCAACTTGCAGAAATAATGTTACTGACGTGTTTATCTGTGTAAAGCACTGGGCACCCAATGGAATGATGTGTTATCGTAAATCGAAATATATAATATCCCAGAATGCACGAATGTAGTGTATGCAACGAAATATGTAAATCATGCAACAGAAGCCCCTAATGAAAGTATGTACATTAGTATTATGGGAAGGAGCGTATTCCGCACAGCGCTACTGCTTTACGCACGCCTTACTATGTCTCATATGTTTTCTGTGTGTAATATTTGCATTTATGTGCTCTACGTGTGTCCATAGTATTCTATGTGTCATGATATGTTCTCGTGTGTGGTTTTATGTCTTTATGTTACGTAATTACGAGTGTGTTTTTATGCTTTACGTTTAATTTTGTATATCTATGGTGTTTCAGTTATATGAGTGTTTAGTGTTTAATGCTATCCTTTATATTCTTTTTAAGTTACTCTGTGTTATTAACAACGACCTATGTAAAAATACTCGACATCTAGCCCCTGTATGGCCATGTAAACTCCGGTGCAGCCTCACGGGCCCAGCGAGTTGCTCTTCGAAATAGTGGAGGACGTGGGACATATGCCTGTTACCTAGTTATACGCCAGGCGTCCCCGTCCTCCGTCAACTGTCACCTGCCCAGATGCATCATTACGTCTACGTCTGCTTTTCTGTTTGATAGTTACTTGCATTTAAGATTTTGTAGAATAAGAAATGGCGTGAAAAATAAATGTTGGTGTTTTTAAAAAGTGTCGGCTCAGATTTTTGAACCTATGATTTACTTGTTAAGCAACAGTTATTTTTTGGTCAATATATCCAAATGATGCGTAGCAGAAATGAGCCATTTTCATTTGAACGAAAACATGTCATCTATAAATTCTCAAGTGTAATATTAATTTTAATTTTCCCTTAAAACAAAGCATTTTCAAAAGAAATTAATTAAGCTATTTAACTCAGTTGCTATATTTACTTTAACTTTCGGGGAAGCTATTGTTATAACCTTATTCGATAGTAAAAATTTCAGGATATTTCGATTTTTCGGAGGAGATTACTAAATTTTCCTTTTACTAATTCAGTATTTTTCCTGTTGCTGATAAGGAAATATTTCGAAATTTTGACTTGGATTTAATAAATTTATAATAATTAAAAAAATATAGGACACTACTCACTTATGGTGTTTTCTGTTTCTGTATAATAGGCATTTACAATTGTTACGATTTCTGCGAATTCGTTCCACCTGTAAATAAATATTTATCAACACAAAATGAAATTGAAAGTTTTTAACGAAAGTTCCATCAGGTGAAAACTTTGCATTCAATTTATTGGAAAACAATAAAAGTTTGTGAATAAAAATTTAAAGATACAAGAAAATAATGCCTTTTGAGCTTTTTTTCTCCTTTCCATTTAAAATTTAGAATATAGATACAAAATATTACATAGCTCTTAGATAAGTTAATGCGCATAAATGTGCGTATATAGAATGTTTTTTCTGAAGTTTCCGGAGAACTCTTTACAGAAGTTAATGCACCTTTCGCGTTAAAACGATTGCGTATGAAATCAACACGGGGGGGGGGCGAATCACGAAAATGAAACGCCCACCATACTCAATATTCACATCCGCTTCGCCTCAAAATCAGATAGTCACTACTCAAATCATCGCCAAACCATCTGTATTTTGCCCCAATCCGAAAAGCACCATTTTCTACACTAGAACTCAGAACTGGCTTAGAACTAGCACTGGAGAAATGAATGATACTAGTAACTGGTAACTTCTCTTCTCTGTGTTGTATATGTTACCGGCAAAGTATGAAACGCTGGCGTTCCATAGAATGCCCAGGCATTATATATAATACCGAACAATTTTATTTACAGTATGAAATATGAGAATTATTACACACTTTCCCTAGGCATTGTATATAATACCTAGGCATTCTACAGAATGACAAATGTTCTTTAGGCAAAGTATTGTTTCGTTTTTCTTTCTTTTCTGACACCAGTTGTACTTATTCTATTCCCATTCGTACGGGATTCGTAGATTGGGTAAATAACGACGACACTGATGAATACAACACGCTTTATTTAGCCGTATAATCCAACACTCCAAAGTCACTTTTACAGTCGTCGAGATCTCCTATAAACACGTGAACTCAGCGACACAGCCTTCACACTATCAGGCAATAACGGTGGAGACAGTTTCACTGCAAAGCACCCGAGTATAGCTCCCGTCTCTGCTCGGTTGTTATCTTAACTTCACGTACTCTCGAGACTCTTCCTTCTACAACTCGCGATGCACTCGACGACACACGAGCACAGCTCGCGACTCTGCGGTTCAGTCGTTCCCGGAGCTCAAAACTCTCCCTCGACGATGCGCTGACCGTGATATACTACGAGACTATTGCGGTGCTCTCGACGACCCACTCGGCACTGGCTGCCCGGCTGTCAACTCGATCGACTCCGCTGGGATTAACTCGCTAGACGAGACACCAACTCGATACTAACTCTCTCGCACTGCAGACGAGGGACTCTGACTCACCCTCTCGATGAAGCACACACTCGATACTAACTAACTATCTCGCATTCCAGACGAGGCACACACTCGATACTAACTAACTATCTCGCACTCCAGACGAGGCACACACTGACTCGCCCTCTCGACGAGGCACTCTAACTGACTGCTGACCAGCAGGGTTTATATAGCTTTCGGCTTGTGTTCTAGAATATTCTGGGTTAAACCGGTAAGAATTCGTTCCACAAGGTTCTCCATCCGTCCATGGCATATCGCCAATTTTTTGCCAAATGTCGCCAAATGTGGCAACCCTGCCTTCCTTTGCCCATTTTATGTCAACCCTAAAACTGCTTTGCGGGGAAGCTATCTCACCGCGCCTGTACATATCGTAACAGTATGGAAAAAAGGTTGTGATAAAGCTATTATTTAAAAGACGTACATTCCTCAAAAATACTCGTACAAATGTTATTTTGAAAAATTAATGAAAGAGTGCCATTAAAAACTGTTAGTCAAAATATGTAAAAAAAAAGGATAGCGAGATGTTCTTGTACAACATAATAAATTTATATTTTCTATCTGGCTGACAGTGGGAATAAGTAGGATTTACAAGACAACGGAAATTAAATTCAGAAACAAGCATAAGTTCCACAGCTATGCCCTTTTTATTCCGTTTTTTTTCTCTGATAGGCCTCAGGTACAACTCAATATCACTGATAGGTGTGATCTTTCTGATAGGTGTTTTGTACAGTTCAATATCATTATTTGTAACAATTTTGTATTTGGTTTAAAGTTCTTTCAACATTCTCTCACGTAGTCCGTGTCCAGTATTGAGTTTTCGTGAAGTACGGAAAATAAACTCAGTGTCCGTGACGTAATACTGTATAGTACTGATGCTTTCTTTAACAAGCTAAATGAATGTAATTTTTTTCCACAAACATCATATCCTAGCGATTCAGCAGCCAGTAGTTCTGTGGTTCCTACTTAGTAGTCATTTTGGCCTTTTTACTTCATTTACTAACTACTGATAAGTAGCTTCGGTTCTTCGAAACGAATCAAAAATGTATTTCATACTTTGGCGGTTTGTCATTTGGCATTCTATAGAATACCTAGAAAATTGGTGAAGTATGAATCGTTTCATACATTGCTGGCTAGTTTTAGACATTATATACAATGACGGATTTTGAACTTTGCCGGTAACACATATCCAGGGTGTTTCATAGATCATGGGACAAACTTGTAGGACAAGGAATAACCCATAACTACCCTACCAGTCCGCTGTTAAGTGGACATAGGAAGACACAGAAATTTCTAAATAAGGTTAAGTCAACATTTACTTTTTATACCATGCGGATTAGATAAAATGGTTTTTCATTTTTATGTTATTTCCTTGTTTTATTTTGATTTAGAATGCAGTTTATCGAGGTTATAATTTTTTATGTTTTATTGCATTATTTATTATGTTTGGACGGCATTTTGCTTGGGAGTTGCACCTAAACAGGAATGGTGCCAAAATATCGCCAATTTTTGCCAAGGGGTACCCTTAAATATGTTTTTCCCCAACATTTTAAGCATACGTTCACATTTTAGGAATGGATGTTTTCTTTTCTTTTTTACCTATAATTAACAAATTTAGTGAGACTTTGTAATAACAATTTTTTTTTATGATCGTTACCTTTATCATACTTGTAATGGAAATTTAATGAACAGAAAGCTCAGTCAGTTTTATTATTTTTTGTACCTGGTAGATAAGTATATCCTAAATGCTCCAAAATATTTTATAAAGGATATAAAAAGATTTGATAAAACAGTAAATTAATAAAAAGATAAGATTCTTCATATTTAATATTATGGGATCTAGTCTTAGCTATTAGTCAATGCAAGTAGTAGATCTGCTTAAATGTAAGTCTTGCAACTCCTCACAAAGACTCGAAGATGAATACAACAGAGGAAGGGTGTAAAAGACCCTTTAATTGAATACAACATTTTACACACGGCACGGACTACCTGCTTACAATCACCAACAACTTGCGGGGTTAACTTGAAAGACAGTGTAACACAAATTTAAAGGTTAAAGTTAGTGCAAAATTATCCAATTCCATTTAATCTATCAGGTTGACTCCGGGAGGAAAATAGTTCGGCAGCAAGGATGCGAAGCCGATATTCAAGGTTCACAGCTGATAGAAGTAACAACGTGCGCTCACAATAGCGAAACCGCACTATAACTAAACGTTTCGAAACGTCATTTTAAATACGCTCGTTCATCCTAATTCATTTACAAACTGGCAAGAAAACGCGAGGAGAATAAAAGAGCAAAAGACTAACAAATTAAAATAACTCTTAGTAAAAATAAGTGAAATCCAATAATATATTAAATAAAACAAACCATATTCTAAATTGTGCTTAGGCAGTAATAATATTTATATTGCTTAAGGCTACGAAAACATTCGGAATGCTAAACTTTAATCCTGAATATATTGCAGAAGAAACACGGCAAGTCTTGCAGAATAAACAGCATATTAGAAAGCTTTTTCGCAATAAAAAAAGGTGAAAATTAACAGTAACATATGGTGTAATTGATAATTACTAGTTTTATAAATATTAATTTAGACTTCAATATTTTTTTGCAAGCAGGACTTAGGAAAATCATAATAAGTGTAATAAAATAAATAATTACTAATTCTTAAAATTTTACGTACTCTCCTCTTTTATTAGGTTTTCTTAGACGGGAGAAGGTTTTGTCAACTGACCACTTCTTTATCTTCCGCATGTTGTCAAAATAACTTATATTATTAAGAGTTAACTGAAAAGCAAAATAAAATTGTAATGGTAAAAGATTTTTAATTTTATTGGTCTTTGATTTTATGAGCAAAATTTATGGTTTACAATTTAAAAATAAATCTTTAGGTACTCACATTTTTATAATACTCAGAGATAAAAGAGTCATTCATAAGCTCTTTCGGATATCCAACAAGTGTCATTATGGCATTGGCCTGTAAGAAACGAAAGAAAAACGATTCTCGTTTTTAAATAATTCTTCAATTAGAGCAATAGAAGAATAATTTTAAATATGTTTATCGACTATATGCAGAAAAAATATAAAGTATATAAGTCAACATTTGAAAATGTTGAATAAAATTGGCATGAAGTTCTCTTCAAATAAAATAAATAAATAAAAGAAATTACATGATAATGTTTAGTTTGAAATTCTTAGTGCGCTATTAAAAAAATTTCACGCATGGACCCACCAAGTGCATTAAAACATTTGAGAATTTTTAAACGTGTACAGTAAAGGAAAAACTTTGTTTAAAATTAAAAAATTCTGCAATAAATTAGATTAATACTTGTATATATGAAACATTCAAAATGGAGCACATATGCTGTTATTTCATAGGTATTCTGGAAACCTTTCTTATATTTTTATTGATAAGTAGCTTGTTATGAAGAACTACTAATGTACATTAATAAATTAATCTTTAAAACATTTTCAGTATATCAACAGTAAAATTCATTTCTCACGTCGAAAGGAAACTGCTTTTTAACGTTACATAAAGTATTACATTGACCAGTCGGTTATCTAACCATTATAAATCATTTCCGTAAAAGAATATGTAAAAACCACACAGCTAAGTCTTCTCTTCTTTTTTTTTACTTATTACGTGCTTTGCCCTTAGGCACTTCACGGAAAGGGAGGAATGACCAGTGGAGGTCTTTCTAAGGAAAACTGGCTTGTAACCACGTTACACATGGGCCAAACCACGAAAACGCTCATGCAGCCAGCCCGATCGCCGGGACTCGAACTCTGGACCGAACTACACTGTTCAACGTCTTTTACTGCTCGGTCGATGGTGGGTCACAGTTAAGTCTTGAAATCAAATTAGAAAATTAACGCTAAATAATGGCGGAATAGTTGATCTCGGATATCGTAAAAAAGAAAGGTTTTTGTCGGCGAAGGAATTTTAGTTCAAGACGTTGTTAAAATTATCTTTTGTGTTATGGGATTAAAAGCGAAAGAAATGCTGATAAAGACAAGAAGAAAGAAGATTGCACAATATAAGGACTTTCTTGATGCTGACAAAAAGGCGCTCACCAGCGGCCTAGCGGTAAAGACGCTGAACACTGGTAGTTCGGTCCGAGGTTCGAATCCCGCGAACAGGCTGGCTGCATGGGCGTTTTCGTGGTTTTCCCGATGTGTAACGTGTATACGAGCCAGTTTCCCTTAGAAAGTCCTCCACGAAGGCATCTCTCCCTTTAGGCAGATAGCCCTTGTGTGCTTTGCCATAACTGAATAATCCAATCCAATCCAATAATCCGATGCTGACAAAAAGAGGAGTCAGTAAAACAGTAAGAAGATATTAATGAACCGAAAGTGTCAAAGCAAGTGTTGCCTTCATAATGAAGCTCAAAAATAAGTAGACATAATGTTAAAAATTGTAGAAAATAGAAATTAATGGTGTATCCGCACTTCGAGCAATCTTTACTAAATTATCTCAAAAAATATTGGCGAAGCAAAAAAGAAATGTTTCCAGAATTAAAAGGGATATCTATAGTAATTTTATTATTTTTTATTAATATATATTTCACTTAGTACATTATCTCCCATTCACTTAAAGTCTTTGAAAATACATTTGTAATGTACCGGTGCATAATTGCAATCTTAAGGTTCAGTTTTGAGAACATCTTTTAGCCTCCATACGTGGACGTTAAATAGATAATCAGGAGTTCAGAGCAAATTTCAACAGCTGTGTATTACTCTGTAATACCTTAAAAATGCTTAGTTACATGAAATATGAGATAAATGTTATTTATTGAAGAAATTTATTAGCAAGTTTCAGTTTCCAAATAAAATTTGCATTTATTTTAAAGTTTTAGCACTAATGTTAAACTGATACTGAAGAATAAATAATTTTGTGAATATTTTAATGTACAAGTAAGTCATATCTAAACGTTAGAGATCTCCTGAGAATCACATTAATTTCTCATATTTTATAGCTTTGGAAATTTCTAAAGCTAATAAAGCAAGTTACAATCACATTATCTACAGCAATAAAGCAAACTATGGCAGTAGTGATATCTTTCTATTTCTACCTGTAGTAATATATGTATAAACTTAGAGCATCTAAACTTAAAAGCAAAATGGAGTCAAAGCAAGGCGATTTCTCAACAATATTAATAATTGCAGCCGTGTGTAAGAGGTTTAACATAATATCTAAACAAATCAGCTGTAGCGCAGGACGGGTAAAAAAATTTTGTTTTTAAGACTCTTATTATGTTTCTTTATGTATATGTTTTCTAAAACTCAGATTGGCGGATTTAATTCACAGTCCAGATAATGTTCTTATTTAAATTCTTCATTTTTATATCTACAACAAAGGTTTTTCTAATTGTTTTTATTGAGTTTTACACATTTTAGGCATTCTTCATACATTTTAGGCTTTGCGACTATAAAGGCGTACATATGTTTTATTATTTTAAACCATTTGTCACTCTTGTGTTACAGATTTTAAAAACTAAATGCTGAGTTTGTTAGACCAAAGGAGTAATTTGCCCTGAAGGACTATTAATTTCTTTTTGGCATTTTTGGCTTGAAAACTATAACCACTTTTCCAATTCTTGCCACCAAATGCTAGAGCCCTGTATTGTATTTAAAGAAATAATGAAGAATCTCCATTAATGTATGTATGCTTCTCGCATTGTGATAAAACAACGGTACCTTGAGACATAAAAATTTGAATAATGTAATTTTCCATAGAAAAATCTGAAAGGTTTCAGAATATGGGCATCTAGAATTTGAATTTGAATTTTGTTTTATTACCGATTTCATATTTTGTAATACTTTAACGAATTTTTGATTAACAAACTCTTGACGATTTCAAACCGAGCAATGGCAGCACTGCAGAGGAAAAAACATTTTTATCTCCAGCGCATGAGACTCTATGGGAAATTCTAAAGATAAGCTCATTTAAAATTTATTTTCCGATACTGCTGTTAAACTGAACTTTATGGTTTGAGAACATGACATTTAATAAATAAATGTAGCACACAAAGCGTTAAAAAAAAGCCCCTTTGGACTAATTAAAAATCTGAAACCTTTCATTTAAAAAAAAAATTAATAATTTTCCTGAAAACTTTCAGATTTATATATATATATATATTTTCAGATCAAATTTTCATTTTTTTTTTTGAATAAGTTGGATTGTTTCTGTTTTATAGTTTTTTGGACTCGGTCCTCTCAAATCGAAAATTTTTTTAAGCATTATTTCTTGTTCATGAATTATGTTTTGTTTTTTCCTAACCCGGCGTATATGCTTTCAAAATTCGCATTTAGATTTGTTCTTTCCACTTAAAAATTCGAAAATTAATTAAAAATTTGCATATGGTTTTGTTTTTTCAAGTGTTGGACTATTATTTTTGCAAGCTTTCTTTTGGACTCGATGTATTCAAAATATGTTTTTTAACTGTCTATTATTTCGCTATCATTTTGAACTGGTCTATGTTTTTGATGTTACAATTTTTGCACTGCTTATTTCGGCCTATAGGGTTTGGACTCATAAAGATACAGATTATTTTGATTGTTTTTATGAGATTAGTTTTAAATTCTAAATTCTTCAGTTGTGTGGCTTCGTCAGCTTAGAAACAGGGCTATTTCATTTATTTATTTATTTCGTTGCAACACCCCTGATGACAGAATAGCGAAGATGACAGTGATAGATGGAAAAAGTTTTCATCTCTGGTTTTGACATTTTTGCTTCCCCTCTGCCCTTAAGGTTGACCCTGCTCCTCTGTTATTTGGTATTTGCGTGCGGTTTATTTGGAAATGAATATAAGATGAATTTTAAAAGGATTTTTTTTTAATGTTATTTTGCATTGTTAGGCACACTTTTCCTGCTGTAGCGCACAGTTGAACTAGGTTCTGAAATCTTTATTGCTTTGTATTTATTCCTTTTGAGATGATCTGATGAACACCACGCATGCGCATTTTAGCCTAACCGGTCACTTCTCCTTCTTTCGCCTTCCTCTCACGTGACACAGATTGTATGTCTAAGGGAAATGATGCCTTCGCGGAGGACTTTCTGAGGGAAACTGGTTCGTGTATACGTCACACCATCTTTCAGGCTTTCAAACAAATCAGAAAACATAAAATTTGTATTAAATAAACTAGGTTCTGAAATCTTTATTGCTTTGTATTTATTCCTTTTGAGATGATCTGATGAACACCACGCATGCGCATTTTAGCCTAACCGGTCACTTCTCCTTCTTTCGCCTTCCTCTCACGTGACACAGATTGTATGTCTAAGGGAAATGATGCCTTCGCGGAGGACTTTCTGAGGGAAACTGGTTCGTGTATACGTCACACCATCTTTCAGGCTTTCAAACAAATCAGAAAACATAAAATTTGTATTAAATAAAAAACAGTGTTGATACCATTGTATTGACTCTACGTAATTTATTTAATATGGAATAGAAGAGAATGTCACGATAATAAATGATAAGCGTTGTTGTTGTTGTTACTATGTGTAAACTATACTGGTTTTTGTACGTGTTATGATAAAGTGTTCGTCCTATTAACACATCTTTTTATATATAAGCAGCTAAAGTGTGTGTCGCCGATAGTTTATTGTTGCCACTCATAAAAATGAGCACGGACATTAGCGTTTCCGCAGTTTTTAATTAATATCTCAACCGATTAAAGTCGTACGAAGATGAGAGCGGTATAGATGGATTCGTACCGATGGATTTTAGAATCCGTGGATACGCGTCTCTAATTTGAACTCGGCGCCGTTCCCTAGATATTCTTGAAAAAATAATTTGGCACGTAGCCAAATCCCTTTAATAAGGAAAACACAAGAAAGAAAGTAAAAAATGTAGGGAAAATTAGTTTTTAATTAATATCTCGGCTAATTAAAGTCCCAAGAAGACGCGAATGGTCAAAATGGCGTGCGGACCTGCGGAATCTCCAACGGTGTGCTTCGCTAAGCCCGGGAGCCAGCCGTTTCGGAGGAGATGATGTTACTTCACCTATATATATATATATGCGGCTTCAGTGTCTGTTGGTCGCCCATAGTTTATTGGTTGCTTGTGTAACGGTACTAGCCAATGGAGTGAAGTTGTCACGGCACAGGGTTGCCGTTTCAATTGAGACGTAGACAATTTCCTGTAAAACTTGCCTTTGCTATGACCATCAATAAGTCTCAGGGCCAAGCGCTTAAGCATTTTTTTTACCTGAGCCTGCATTTGGACACGGTCAACTTTATGCTGCCTGTTCAAGAGTTCGTGAAAGAACAGACATAAAATTTAAAATATTGGATGGTCCTCTGCAAGGCGAGCTTAAAAATGATGGAAAGAGCTACACAAGAAATGTTGTGTACAAAAAGATCTTTGACATGTGAATTAGCATTTTATTATTAAATCACCTTTATTTATTGAGCTAGTGGTGGCTCTTAAGAAATTTACCGCCAGTGCACTCTTCTTTAACCAATTAAGCAAGTAGAAGGGGAAAACCCCGTGGGGCAGTAAGCAAAGGGGCGTCCTCGCCGCCTGCTCTGGGTAATTCAGTTTGAATTAGCAGACATCTTTGCACAAATCATTTTAATTACAATTTATAATATCTAAAACAGCGGTCATTTCGTATGACAGCCGGGGTTTCTAGTATGTTATATGAAAATGCCCACATAAGGTCACGTTCATGTTAAATACATCAATAACCCACCTCAGAGGGATATAGGACGATAAACATTTTCCAGGTATGAGAAGAAATTTCTAAGAACGCATCAAGAGCTTTCTGAAAAAGGTATTATCGCATGCTTTTCTGATTATTTTATATAAGGAATTAGGATGAATTTGAATGTAAAATTTAAACATTTCGGTTATAATATATCATACATTATATTTAAAATTCTAAAGAATAATTTTCTTTCTCTGTAAGTGAAATAGATGCTTAGATAGAAAAACAATTCCATTAAAAATAATTTATTGAAAAAGAAAATTGCCATAGTTGAAAATTGCAGATGATCAGTTGCTTGTGCATGGCTTGTCGAATTTTCCGGTTTCAGAAGAAAATCTAGGATACTCTGACACATTTCATGGAGCATATACTATGAATAAGTAACTAGATGATGTGAAGATGAGATAATTAGCTTTCGACACACCTCGCAAAGGTTTTTTTTTTTTTTGTATTACGATTGTTTTTGTTGTCATTCATTTCGCTTGTCTGAAATCAAAGCAAGCCCATGTAATTCATCGTGGGAAGGAGACAATATTGCTCCGCCTTTCATTGGCAAGAGCTTTGTGCACCATACAGGTGGCAGTTCGATATTGTTCAGTTCTGTCCCCAGTTTGCAGGAGAGCACCCCGGGGGACGAGTCAAAGGCCTTATACCACTCTTTCCCTCCCACCAACCTCTCGAAAGGACTTTCAGCTCGCTGTATATTTTAAGTATTCCCCTGCATCGCAGACACTATATATTTACAGACAACCATGCCTTTCCCGGGGTTCGAACCCGGGCCCTTCATTATGGTAGTCAGAGTCATTAACCACTAACCCGGTGGGGCGGCTTGTATTACAATACTTATTATACTTAGGTTCTCATTTCTGGCATTTGAAAATAATTGATAATGATTTTGATGAAAATATTATTCACGATTAGAAGTTCTATCGCAAAAAAAAATATATATACTATTATATTAAGAAATTTAAATAATATAAGGAAAAGAAGGAAATGTAGCGGACCTTTTCTATGGCTTTTGTTTTAGTTTTTTCGTCCATCCAATCATTCCTTTCTAGCATATTTAAGTATGCTTTATGTATATAATGAACCATCTCCAGCGCCTGAAAGAAATGAAATAAAGCTTCATGCATCCTCGTTGTTAAATACAAAAAAACATTGCAATGACATATTACTATATATGTTTAAACCACTTCATAAAAATGCTTCCTAAAACTGCCTTACCTAAAACTTAATGCAAAGTATCAAAATGTGATAAAAAATCCCGCACATCAAAATCTCAAAAAGTATGAAAATTACAAAAGGAATTAATTACAAATATTCCAATAAATGATATCCCTATTCTGTTACAAATAATACATTACCTGAAAACTGAATCCCAATTTAAGTCGTTACCTTTAAAATACATTTTGTTTGTTGCAAGATAGAGATGAGTTTTTTCCATCAGAGCGTATTTTTAAAAGATTGAGTATTAGTTCCATTCATTGGAAACAATTTGCCATTAATATCAGGCTTAGAGTTTCCACAATTTAGGAAAGTTTCAATATCCATTTTAGTGTTTCCACGATTTTTAACGTTTGATGTGTCTAAAATTTGGATCGATTTCTGTAATTCGTTTAAAAACATTTCGAAATCAGTACCAAGTTCCGAGTAGCATATTATTTAAGATCTGATTTTGAAAAAGAAGGGTTTTATTTAAAATATTCGGTAAAATTTGCATTTCTGCTTTCATCTTGATTCCTTGAGAGACATTTGCCAAAGACAGCTAAAACAGGCATATTTTGGTGGGTTCGCAAATCGCGAGCAATATTATTTTAGTGGAGCATTTTCATTGGCCGGTTTCATAAGCACGCTTCAGATCAATTTTTGTGAGACTTGTGTCATTTATTCTTTGAAGTTATTCTAATAATTTCCTAATATTTGTAATGAATTTCTAAAACTTTCCTTCGTCCTTTTAATTCTTAATATATCTTTCCCGGAAGTCGTTTTGTTCGGATTGGTAGTCGAGCGCGGGAAAGAACAAAAATCGTTTTCCTTCGAATTATTGGTGGACTATTGTTATCGGTGGGCTTTGGTAATGTTTTTACAATAAGGTCGGGTACACACTAGGTCGACGCCCGTACATTTCAACGTTAAAACGTTCATTGCAAAAATGCATACCTATGAATGTTTTTTGCTGATGCTGTTATGCTACGATAAACGTAGCATTCGACACCAGAGCTTCCAGCTGTACATTGAACATAAATCTGGGAAGGTGAGCGGCAAACGTACTCTATAGAGCCAAACATTTCGGCAAGCACGTGTTACTCGTACTTTGCCCACAAGAGTACGTCGACATATCTGAACTTCATCTCAAGAAGTACAGTGTCTTCTCAGCCTAACCTTTTTTTTACAGTAAATTCCTAAAAATGGGCAATAATAAAATACCATGTGATGATGAATAATCTTGTATAGATTTAGTTTGCCGAATTGCGAGGACGAGGTTACCGATCATGATTCTAGTGACAAATGACATTGTACATCATCCTAGGACTATTATGTGACGAAGAACTTCAAGCACCTCTGATTCAAGACCCGATTCAGATGATTCTGGTTCTCAAGAAGAATGGTCGTCAATAGACAAACCCACCGGTCTTAGACGAGTTTTATATCGTTCAGAAATAAATACAGAAAATTTTCTGGATAGTGTAGCGGACGCTCTAGTGTGATTTATTGGCGATGACGTTTTTACATTTCTTGTAGAGAAGTCAAACAGACATTTTATTAACAAAATACTGGTAAATTCACAACTTCCAAGAAAGCCCATAAACGAAAAGATATTACAGTGCAAGACATGAAGAAATTTTTAGCGCTTATTCTTGTTATGGAGAAAGTGCTTAAGGACGAAAAGAGGATTGTTAGGGCACAGTACCGTCTGTAGGAACGCTATGTTTTCCAAAAATAAAGACAAGAGCCATATTTCGTATGTTATGAAAGGTCTGGAAACACTGCTATTTTGTGAAGAAGTAATTTTGCTCACGAATTACAAAACTTCGCCAGATACCTGTTGAGAGTTTGGTGGGAAAACACCCGCGCAAGATGTGTTAACTGTAGTACGATTGATGAATATGATATTCTCAAGAGCATTAGGGTCTATACAAATGATCTCAGTTTTAGTTGCAGTAACGTGCAATCCAGTGTTTTGCATTTTTCCTAAATTAATTCGATATGAATTATCAACAAAATGTTTTTTATCAATACAAAAAATTATAATTGGAACAACAAAACAAACAATAATGAAACAACAAAAATCAGCCTCATAATTGGAAATTTTCGAAGGAATAGTTTCGATGGCTTTACCGAACCATCATTTTCATTTGCACTTTGGCAGCCGAGGCTGATGGTTTGGTAAAATCATCGAAACTAATCCTGTGAACATTTGCAAATATAACGCTGATTTTTGTTGTTTGACTTCTAAATTAATATTTGTTCGGCGTGTCATTTTAACCTGTTCTTTATCCCTTGCATTTTCTCTTTTTCTTTTTTTTTAACACAGAGAAAAACTTTTCTTTAATGTTCTAAGCAATTAGTGAGTGACTACAAGAACATTAATTAGTAATAAGTTGCCATGTTTGAGTAAAAATGTGTTCAGATTAAATCGAGTAAAACTAATAGAAATTTCTATAGATACCCATATTAAAAAAATTAATTTACTGCAAAAATAAAATAAGTATTACTTTCTATCAAAATAAATTATTTCATAGTGCTTGAGTTACAACATCGCTGTGGAAAAGTGTCTAATTTGAATTGGAAAATTCTACTGACAAGTCGTCCTCTAAGTAAAAGTGTCAGCATGCATGATCTCAATAATAAATGCGAATACGTTTAATTAATTCCACAACAGTTACCTAAATTGATCAATAACAAGTAATTTAAAATACTAACTTTGTGCGCAATAGCTATGATAATTGATTAAAATAACATTTGACTGGTTTTCCTGTTAGCTTATATTTTATACAGAATCTCCACGAAAACATTACTTATTTTAAGCAGGCAACCCTCGCATGCTTTGCCGTAATCAAAATAAACAAAAATTTTAAATAGAATGTTCTGCAGACAGCATAAGATATTTTGTAGACTGCATAAGATATTTATTTTTTATTTAATGAAAGGTCACTTTTTTATAATAAACTCTTTTCTTGTGTTGAATTACTTTAGATGCGTCACTCACCTGGATATAGGGTTTACTTTATTTTTTCTAATAGTTATTTTTATTTTGGAACAAGCCTTTCCTTTACCTTTTCGTTTCCCACCTGCGTTTCCCTAACAGGATGTTTCCAGGATTTCGATTTATGTAAATGAGGTTGAAAATGTGTTATGTAAATGAGGTAGTGAGAAAAGTCCAATTAATTTCTTTGACTTTATTTGACATTGAAATTTTTATACATAGATGCATTTTGTATATTTCTTTAACGGACTGCTTCTATGTCAACTGAGTAGTTATGATTTCAAAGTTTCTAAGTATATTTCGTATTTATACATTTTAATTTCGATCTTAAATTTAGTAAAAAGTATCTAATTACTTTTTTTTTTGCTTTATTTGACGTCGGAATATTGACATATGGAATTGTTTTTTCGTATTTCTTTAATAGACTGCCTCTGCATCGAGGAAGAGTTCAAAAGTTTTTGGGTGAACTGTTATAATTAAATAAGTTAGAATGGTTCATAGGCTGATTAGGGATGAATAGAAATGTTGTGGTTTCATAAGGATGGGGGTTCAATTGAGTCTGATTTATCTGCTGTTGATAACGTTGAATCAAATTTAATTGCATTCTTCTATAAGGCATTTATCCCTCCTTTCTTGGCATGCCTTCGTGGTCTATACTCTGGGCGCGTATTCCAGAGGTTCCCGGTTCGATTACCGGCGAAGGCGTTGCTAATTTGTCATCTTGCCTGCTTCCAAAATCTATCTAATCTCCCTACAGTGGCGCTCGAACTAAAAAGGTGTTGGATAATGTCTCTCCACACCAAGGATTTTGCAATTGGGTCCCCTAAAAAAATCCCAGTAGCCGTTTAAAAGGTAGAGTATATAACGTATTTCTCCCACCTTTCTTGGCATGCCTTCGTGATGTGGTGATCTGCACGCTGGGCGCGTATTTCAGACGTCCGCGGTTCGAATCTTGGCGAAGGCGTTGCTAATTTTTCTTCTTGCCTGCTTCTAAAAAATGCCTAATATCTGTACGTCTCTTCCTGTATATTTCTTGTAGTAATTGTATTTAACATTTCTTTAATTTTTTTAACTTTTGGTTAATTTTTTATATATTTATAGGGCATTTGGGAATTTTACTGGTTTTGAATTTCATTTCTTTTAAGTCTTGGTGGGTATGGTTCAAAATGTCTTTTTTTTTAACATCTAAATTTGTCTTATTTTGTCCAGTCATCTAAATGTATTATTGTTAGTATTTGTTATATATATACTGCAGTACTAAGCAGAACGGAAGGACAAAATTCTGAGTTAGATTTTGCTTGGTTAGTTTCATCGTAAGCAGTAACTTGTCAATCGCCATAGTTTACTTCTAGAGGTTAGAGTATACAACGAGTAGTTTTAGTTAAGTAGACACATTTAGATGTTATAATGAACACCTCAAAGAGCTGAGAAATACTTCGCTGAAAATGTTTCTAACATAAAAATTGCGTGCAGATAAACAAAATAATTTGTATGATTAATGATATCTCTGAAACGTTTTCGGCATTTTCGGAGAGACATAATAGAAGTTTGAATTTTGAGAGCCATTATTTCTTGGCCGCTGTTATTACCTAATATTTTAAATTCCTTTGATTTGAATTTCTAGTATGAAAATATCAATTGTTTTTTAACCTTTAATGAGAAACAACTTTAATAACTTTAGGCCTTTTGAAAAGGAATCATTTTATACTTAACCATTGCTAACAGAAGAGCTCGATTAGGAAGCAAACACTAAATAAATTTTTAAATAATATGTATTAAAGTTCAGAGTTTACGATTTACCGATATGTACTTGTTTATTTGACAAACTATGGCACTTATAGAAATTAGTATTAGCAAATAACAGAACCCAGAATTTTCTCACTTACACCATGCATGTTTTCTTCATTGAAGTAATGCTTTACATAGTGGTAGCCAAGAGCCACTCCTAAATCTTCGCTGAAGGAAAATATACAAGTGTCCCAACGAGGTTCTTGTTCTTTTTTTCCTGAAACCACTGAACAGAATTCTTGGAGCAAATTTCTCCAGTCCTCCGATAACCTGGGCAAGGATTCTTGAACAACCCTCCACATCATGTAGTTAGCCACGACCCTAGGAATATTAGCAACTACCATGTAACAAAAGTTTAATTAGCCCCACTACCATGTTACGAAAACGCATTATTTTTATTCTTATTTAGTAAATTAAAAATACTCAGAAATCCCTTTGGAAGCACTTAATTATTTTGAAAGACTTTTCCAAATCACATTGCAAAGGTTTTAATTCCGACCAATGAAACACTCAACGAGAGTGATGTATACTGCGAGGAAAAAAAAAAAAAAGGGACAGTTTTGTGTCTCCCATTCTACAGGGCAATTTTTTTTATTTTGCGCGAAGCTTAATTCACTTGGCGACTTCTTAATATATGGCAAACAATTTTCCTTTCCCTTCCAGTATGCCGCAGCTGAAAAAAAGTCACCTCGTTCCTACGTTTTTACATTGTGCATGAGCAGAAAAAAAGATACACCGTTCTTACTTTCAAATAATTTTAGCGGAGTGTCTAAACCACATTTGATGTTTTATCGCTTTCAACAAGTATGCTAAATTTCAAAATGCGCCAATATATAAATTCACGTATATCTTCGGAAATTTTGAATAAAACATAGTAATTTTTCACAGGTATGCTTAGAAATACGTTAAAATGCTGGTAAAAATTTTATAGATTAAAATTCACAGTTTTTTCCAAAAAATTTATAACAATTATTAAAAAATACAAATTTAAAAAATAAATAATAAAAAAATGGGTGAATTTTATTTGGAATGAACCTGAATTTCGAAATGTGAAAGGAAGAATCAAATAAGTTTGATAGAAAAAAGAAAGATTAATAAATATATATACCAAACTCAATTAACATGGAGGAGGTAAAATTTCGAGAGCTCATTTTTAAAAACTACTCGTGCGAGTTTTTCAACACTCAGTAGTTTGGCGTAATTTGAATCGTAGAATCGAAATATGGAAAAACATTGGTATGTTATTTCAGAAAAAGTCCGATTTTGTGTCAAAATACCTACATTAGAACAATGCTATATATAAATCTAATACATATCCTAAGCCGCGTTTTCGAGATATGAAAAACGCAAGTTGAATTTCGACAATCGGTCCAGTAAAACGGGAGATAAGGAACTGTCCTTTTTTTTTTTTTTTTTTTTTCTTTCACGCAGTGTACCTTGTTTTTTGATTTTGTTCAAGGGGTCAAGAAAAGACGATAAGTTTCATTAGCTTGTTTGTCGGAGATCAGAAAAATTAACTAAAAAATTGCTTTCATGAAATGATTTAAATTATGGTCTGCAGGTTTTTCGTTTAAAATCTACAAGTTTTCCATATAAAATTGTCTTTTCGTTTGGTATATATGTGTGCAAAATGAAGCAACATTATACAGAACAAAAAGGATCGAAATATAAGTGAACTTTGTCTTTTTTACAAAATCTTTGAATGAAATCTTAAAATCATAAAATATTTAAAATTAATAGCAATAATATAGCGCAGCTGAAAACGTCAATCCCCTAAATCAACTGCTAAACAGAGAATTAACAAAAATGGTTACTAAACAGGGGGATTAATTTAAAACTTACAGTACGACATGGGAAATAAAAAAATTGAAGAAAATATTCTGTTCGCATTTTGGACATATTTAAGGTGGCATGACATTCGTGTCATGTTACCATTAAATATGTCGATGAAATGTCTGTTATCATCTTAGATATGTGGATGAGATGTCTGTTATTTTATTGACAGTTCAAAGTAGAGTTATGCCTAATTCAGGCATCTCTCTTTATATTATTCTGTCTTTGCAACTGTTTAAATCTTATCAGTTGTATGATCTTATCAGTTGTATGATCTTATCAGTTGTATGATCCATCGCTGGTGTTTATGGACTGTATCTTGTTGCTTTGCTAATGTATACCTTCAGTAGAACTTAAAGAAATCACAGCTTCGTAATCTTGACTGAACGTCATTTGTTACTTTCTCAGAACGGCGACTCAGATTAGATGATGAAGTCACTTTGTCAGGTTCTTGGACATCGCCCTACCTTGTGTATAGCACGTAAAAATTTGGCATATTTTTATAGGAATATTATTTTAGTTGAAATAAGGAATTATTCTTTTGCCATGTCTATATGTGAAGTCGTTCGAAACAGCAATTATGGCATGAATTTAGAGTATAAATAATTGTCGGTGTCCAATAGTCCATAGGCAGTTTATCTAGCTCTTAGAAAGGATCACGATATCCCTTCTTCAATACCTCTCGGGAGTTAATTACCTCGCTAATTGCCGAAGGCCGTTGGAGTCTGAAGTATTGCTGTGCTGGTGGAGACAGAACGTAGATTGGAGGCTGGTGCTAGGTCGGATGATACGATGCGAACGGCGACTCGCCAAACACTGTAAAACCTCGAATTTTACCGTGCTACCTCAAAGCACACCCCAACGGAACATCGGTGTTGTTGCAACTACCTCTGAAGTAACTATCGTTGAAGGAACTACCTCTGAAGCTCCAAGTGCACGCTTAAAAACCCTAATTAACCAGTGTTTGTGCTGCTCCTCAGCTCGGTGACTAAAAATGCAAATTGTGCACCATCAAACATCAGTGAAAGAAAATTTTCACGTGTAGTGCCTTACTTTTAATCAATCAAACATCCTGTCTGTAAATAAATCAGTTTGAAATTGTTATGTGTACAAAAGGAAGAGTCAATGCACTTTTTCTTACCGCTTATCCGTTTTATGAATCAGACTGGCAAATCTGCTGATGTATTGCGGATTATCATAAATTAAAGTCTCATTCTCACTAACTTCATCATTCAGCAAACCATTGAAATACCTCAGCCAGTCAATCTATTGAAAAATGAAAGGGATTTTATTTGAATCTTTTTTCTCTCTTATTTAATTTTATTTATTAATGATTATTTTTAATTAATTAATAATGAACCTTAATTTTTATGTAGATTGAGAAAATGTCTCAAAAAAGTAAAAGATGTGAAAGAAAACATTAAAGCAAAATTTAATTCTTAAAGCAAATAATTATTTATATGCTATAATAGTAAATTTTCTGCCACTATAATTACACAAGCGTCTTTACTTTTATTTCAAACAAAATCTCTTGGCTGACCAGCAGCCGAGCGGTAAAGTCGCTGAACACTGGTAGTTCGTTCCTGGTTGGAATCCCGGCTAACGGGCTGACTGTATGGGCCTTTTTGTGGTTTTCCCCATGTGTAACGTGTATACCAGCAAGTATCCATTAGAAAGTCCTCCATGAAGGCATTTCTTCCCTTAGGCAGCTAGCCCTTGAGTGCTTTGCCATAGTTAAATACTCACACACAAACCTAAGAAAGTCTACAATGGATTTTTCTATGTTTCCTTTACTGGGGAGGGTAGTAATCACTTTTTTTTTTTTTTTTATTATAACAATGAAGATTCTTATTTTTTTCAACCGGGAGCTTTCTTTACTTTGCTTCAGAAAAAGACAGTTTTTGATTTTCTTTAGTTAGTTCTGTAGATTAAATAATTAGAAATCCCATGCAAACTTAAGGTACTTATTTAAAAGTATGTATTTTGCAACATATTTACTACTAGGTCTACTAGACATATTTACTCACGAAACGGATTAATCTATTTTAAGGCGCTAGTCATTTTTCCTGCTGATCCCCTACACCCGAAGTGTTATGTAATTTTTACGGGAAATTTCTAACAAAATAATAAATGATAGGTATAGTAAATTAGTAAATAACAAAAGTAGTTTTTCAAAAATCTTCAATACAGTTTCCATTAATTTAGAATTCAAACAACAATTGTTATGAAATTAATTCAAAAATCCTTTTTTTTTTTCAGGCTTTCAATTCTACAAATTTATCAATTATGTCTTCGTAATTAATACTTTTCAACGCGTTTTGCTCTATGTGCAGTACAGCTAAAGAAGTTCATTTTGTTTGACTTGATGAATTTCGTAAAATATGTAGGTTTTTATGCTTTTTACGGTATTTCACCAGATGCATTCAATACAGGCAAAGTTAAAATTATATATAATAATGATTTCCATATTTGGAAATGTGGATACAATTTTTATCATCAATTATAAATCATAGCATATCAGGTGGCAACGTTAAAGTTTGGCTTTTCTAAAGTAATAGAAATTGTAACAGTTCCTTATCCAAATCTTTTTTGCATGAATGTCTTCACCGTACCATTTTTTAGATTCAACGATATACATTGTCGTTTGAGTTTGTATTAAATATTTATAAAATTTCAATAATGTCTTTGTAACTTTTGCTATGTAATTTTAGTTCAAAAAATATTTTGTCACATGTTACGTAAAAGTAATTTCGTTTAACGGCTTTTTGACTCTGATTATATGAACTTTTGTCGTCCCTGATTAGTCCTGATGAACTGTATCAGAAAATGCTTTCCGTTTTCGCTACCTTTTATTAGTATCGTAATGAGTTTTTATTACTGACGCGCTTAATGTGTCCGCTTCTATTTCTGGAAATAAATTTCTTAAAACATTAACGTAATTAAATAAAGTCAAAAAGTGAAATAAGTCAAAAATAATTGCCGCAAAGGAGATTGGCATAGTAGGATCTTGTAAGGATATACAGCTTGCATTTATTCTGGAAAGATTTTTATCCCAAATAACTCTTAAATGAATCCTAAATTATTAATTTTGTTTGCTATTTCTCGGGATTCCAGTTTTACGGAGAATTTCTGTAAAACTGGATTATATCAAGTAGAGATATATCAAGTAGAGATATATCAAATAGAGATATATCAAGTAGAATATTTTTCTATTTCGTTGAACGCAGAGAGAGTTGCTTTAACTGCATCAGCTCTACAAGACCACCTGGTACATGTGCTGTCCTGGGAATATAATGCAAACAAATGTTATTCAGCTCTATGGACATACAAGGCCCTTGAAGGAAATTCTTTGGAACCTTGCACTACTGCAAGTAAACAGTATATCATCAGCTTAAAAGCTGTCCTTTATAAATTATAGTACTAATTATATAAATTACATTGAAACAAATACTATGCCGAAGAGTACTGTTGCGTGTGTAAGGGCACGTAACAGTTTAAATGCACAAGTCCG